ACACACACACACACACACACACACACACACACACACACAGTCATGATCAGCTTTGCTACGTGTAATCATGATCATGTGTTTTATAAGTGTATTGAGAGGATTGATGTCAATATGTTACCCAGATGGGCAAGTAGACTGTTGATGGTGAATTTACAAAAATAGGGCAGAAATACAAGTGAGCAGACGTTCCAATGGGTGGTGGCAAACTAAGAGATACATGTTGAAGAAATGGATAACAAGAACCATCTAAAACTCGTCAATATGTGGAAAAAGCACTTCTTGGTACAGCCTTCTTGTGACTCCATATACAAGGTTATAAAAGTGAACGCCCCCAAAATTCGGGGTTCTTTTGGTCCGAGACGTCGGACTATCTTCTTTAATTGGACAACGGGGTCAGCTACATTGAACTGATAACTTTTCATTTCTTTTCTTGCTCTGTGTATGAGACTCAGAGCAGAGAGAGATAATTTGTTGTCCATTGGACTTATCAAAACTTGAGCATTAGCGACAGGGAGGGGAAAAAAATACTCGTTTCATAGAAGGGAGCCATTCATAGTAGGGATTTTATTCTTATGCAGGACTTGTAAATATAAATTAGTTTTGAGGAAGTAGACGAATGGCAAGCTTGCCTACCACCCAAAAGGATAATTTTGCTCGAGACGTTTTTGCACAATGATATTCCTTTGTTTTTGACAATGTGAGGAATTATAACTCCTTTACCTCAGGATTTTAACTCGGTGGACAGTTTTTGACTGATTTCTACGCAAGCTGCATGTGAGTAGGATTAATTTAGTTCAGTGACATATAATCTTTTATTGTCATTTATTTTAGTTTTTACGATGTTATTATCTACTTATATTCAACTTGCTGTCTTGCTTAGTCTATGAAATATCTCTAATCTCACTTTATACTATTTTTGGCATTCTTATTTAAGACTACGCTCATTAATTTTCAATGATTGACAGTTAATCTCACACCATCGGACCTGTCATATAGAATTCTTTTAAGTTACTTCGGCTCTAAATTAAAGTGAAATGAGTCCTTGCGATTATATTAATGACAGCTAAATTTACCTAGGTCTTACCAAATGCAATAAATAATTTAGAAAGCAGAACTACTGTGAAAAGGGTGTGATGGGATTGATTTCTTATTTCTGCTAAATGTTGATCAATCGAGAAATTAACTGATTTAAGACTGGTGCTCAAGAAATAAGAAATAAGGCAATTCGAACCTAGGTGTGTCTTCTTTTGTGATTGGCTTAAAGCAGGGGCCCCCAACCTTTTTTGCCCTACGGACCGGTTTATGTCAGACAATATTTTCAGGGACCGGCAATTAAGGTGTGGCGGAAATAATACAACAAAATAATATGGTATGAGCTGCATGAAAACTGTGGCGTTTTCGAAATATAAGAATAAACACAAGGCGCGTCTAATCTGGCCGCAACACTTCGATCGCTATGGCAATGTTTAATGCCTTCAAAATACGATACAACGCAAATTCAAAGTGCATGAAAATGACGACTCACCACAGCACCGAGCTTGATTTTCTGCAACCAGACGGTCCCATTTCGGGGTAATAGGAGACAATGACACCTCAAGTGTGTGGTTTATGTCCAGTCTACTTCGTAATTTTGTTTTCGTCGCCGTTGCTGCAGAAACCCCCCGTCTCA